GTCCTCCCAGACTACAGTATCCATTGGAGTTCTGTTGCTCAAGCTTGGCCACTTGAAGTTGTGTGGACCAACTCCCAGAATCGCCCAGCCAACATCGAAGAGTTGAAGTCCACACCTCTTCAAGCAAGCCAAGGTTGAGAACGTACCACACAGCAATTGGCAAGGCACACGGCAGTCAACCATTCCTATGACTCATCCCACCCATCTCTCATCCATGTTCTGATAAATCAGGGGTTCAAGGCTGCTGGACACCATACGATCCAAGACCACCAGGTTGGAGAGAAGGTCTTGTCAACAAATGCTGAGGATGGAACAAAGCATGTGCTTGTGACATTTCTCGTTCGATCTGTGGACAGTACAGAGTCCAGGATACCTAGAGATACAAGGGATAACCGCTGCTCTATAACATAACATGTGGCCACCAAATGTGAACAAGCAGGCCTAAAAAGGGCACAGCAGACCCCACTGTCAACAGTGCTAATCCTCCCACCCCACAGGCACCCCATACAACCCTGCTTGGAATAAATCATCTTTAAAAATAAGCCACTTTCCAGTGCTGGTGAGCGTAGACAATTTCCATGCAGTTCCCATGGATGACTATGAAGAGATGATTTCTCAAAGCCCTACACACACACACACATGCACACACCCAATCTCATGTCCCCTAATGATCCCACTGGAAACTTGGGCATGGGGTGTGGGTACATTAGTGGCACCTGTACTTAAGAGGAGAAGGGCAAGAAAGATGATCTCAAGGTATTATTCAGTGCCTTAACAGTAATCCAGTCTTTATTATGGTCAAAGAACCCCATAAAGACAGTGAGGCCATTAAAAATACAACTCACTCAAGAAAATAACAATTTTGGAAAGCTAAAAGTGATCAAAGGATATGTCTATATGGCAACAGCAAAAGACAAAAGGGAAGAGGAGGGGTAGGAGCATTAGATGGCGGTAGGGGAAACGGTTAGCGGATGGCACATGGAATCCATCCCAACACAGAGCACTTCAGTTCGAGGAACTATATATCAAGGGGCTCCAACCTTGGCAACTTTTAAGACTTGTGGACTTCAACTCCCAGAATTCAGGTAGCAGAGCTGAGGAATTCTGGGAGTTGAAGTCCACAAGTCTTAAAGTTATCCATTTTGGAAACCTCTTAACTAGATCGTTCTGAATTCTACTTTGTGGCATGAGTCACGCTCGGGTGGATTTTTTTTAAGTGCCCATGCATAGAACCTGGCACAATCTTGTACGTTGCAACCAGGTTTTTATCTGCAAACAGCAGAGTTGTAGAATTGTTCAGAGTGCACCCTGGAGTAATCAGGCACTAAAGAGGGGAAGGAAGAAAATGAAGAAGAGGTTTTAACAAACGCTATTTTCCTTTCCAGCAACACCCCAGGAAGGAGCAGCTCAGGGCTGAGAGGGACCACCAGCCATTTGGGTCTGCGGCACCCCGATGGCCCCAGCTGGCTCCTAGGGATGGTTGCGTGAGGCTGAGGCAATGCCTGCAGATGGCACCCCCTGATGCTTTGCTTCCATTTCATGCAGCAGACGGCGGACAACTCTCTCTTGTTCCGTCTCGCCTTCAAAATGGAAGACCCTGGCCAGCTCTTTCAGACGCTGCTCCAACTGCTTCCGCTCCAGAGGGTGGTCCCCGGGCACCTCCAAGCAGGCCTCGTACGCCCGCAACGCTGCCTGCCTCTGGCCCTTCTTCCGGATGAGGAAATCCCCCCAATGAATATAGAAAGACTGCTGGCACCTCTTGCTGGCGGTTGGCAGGGCCTCCATCACGCCCAGGTACACCTCCTCCTCATAAAGCTGGCACCGTTCTCCGTACAACTTCGCCAGCTTCAGCTGGGAAAACATAGATTCAGGATTGGCTTCCAGAGCCCGTTTCATGCACCCAATGGCCTCCTCCACGATCTCCTCTCGGTTCCCCTTGAATCCTCGATCTAAGAGATCCATGTAACAGATGCCTAGGTCGTAGTACAGGAGATAGTAATCACCGCAGAGGGAAATGGCCTTCTTGAGGGTGGAAATGGCCTCGGAGAGAAAGTGGAACTTATGAACCTTGGCGGCAATTCTCAGGAGTTCTGGGTTGAGACTGTTCTGCACCACATCGTTGGCAAGATGCCGCGCCCTTTCATTATCTTTCCTATGGAGAATCTCTGCCAAGTATACTTTGGCTTCATAATTTTCGGGGTGGCTACGGATCA